TTGCTTAACCTACCTAAAATTTTAGCACTGAAAGTGATCAAAGATGCACTCTGCTCTTGAAAGAAGAAAATGCACTATCTTGCTATTTACAACAGTGCTTTGCTTTGTAAGGAAACATGTTTGTACTAGGGGAAAAAACCCAATGACATTCTCTTAACTGAATTATTAGATGGAAAGGTCCAAATGATTTTGAATCTTAGTATTTTTCCATGCTAAAAAAAAAAAAAAAAAAAAGGCAAAAAGATCCTTAAACTGTGTATTCACAAACACAAGAACAGGATTAGAAGGGAGGAAAGTGGCAGGACAAAGGGGAATGGTTTTAAGCTGAAAAAGGGTAGATTTAGATTAGATATTAGTAAAAATTCATCACTATGAGAGTGGTGAGACACTGGCACAGGTTGCCCAGAGAAGCTGTGGCTGCCCCATTCCTGGCAGTGTTCAAGGCCAGGTTGGATGGGGTTTCGAACAACCTGGTCTAGTGGATGGTGTCTCTGCCCATGGCAGGGGAGTGGGATTGGATGAGGTCCCTTCCAAACCAAACCATTCTGTGATTTATGATTCTATGAAAGGGCACAGCAGAAACACAGAGCTGCGACCGCATTCTGATTCTACATAAAACTCCTGAGCTGCATTTCAGGTTTTACTTTCCAACCCAGCCTTTACCTCCAGCTCATGCTATGTTATTTTCTCACTGTCTCTCTGAGACAGAAAAATTTGAACAAAACAGAGCAGGCGTGTGTTTGTGCCTGTGCATGTGTGTCAAACAAACAAGATAATTTCATGCATTAGAAAATATGACAAGTACAATTTACGAATGCTTGATCAGAGTGAAGCAAAGCCATGAGTCAGCGATGCCATAGTTAACAAGTGAAAAGCTATTCCATCCCATTCCATGTTCTGTACACGGCTAGATGAGGCTGTTATAGAGAGGCAGGAGGTTGTGCAGCCACTCCTCCATTACACAAACACACTTAGTAGGCAGTGCTCAGCAAAAGGGTGGGGGCAAGAAGGTTCCAGCTCTCCAAGGCTTCCTAATAAATCCACCTCTGCTCAACATTTTACATAATGATATAATGCATTGCATTATATTATTATAAGCAGTGACATCATAATAAAATACCAGAGTGCTACTGAAGTGGCAAGGAACACCTAAGATACATTTCTATACTTGTAATTCAGTTCTTGTATTTTTTAATTATAGATAAGAATTTAAAGTGAAAATAATTATTCATTCCATACTGTTGTAATGGATCTTCAGCATATAATTAAGAGGCCTTTAATTTTAATTTTGTATACTGAACGCCTGGTTTTGGAGGTATTCCATATTTTATATTCAGGGCCTATACCTGCAAAGCTCTAAGCTTCTATTTTAGTGGAAGCTGAAGATGCTGCATGACTTTCAAATTTAAGAACTTAGCTTTTGTAATGATGGACACAAATACAATGGCTGCATCAATGCACTGCAAGGAATTATCCTTGCTTCTAATTGCAATCCATTTCAACCATGCTGTCAGTGTTCTTTGACCCACCTCAGGTTGCAGCACCATATTCTAACCCATACTTGCAATACAGCCAGTAATGATGAAGCATCTTCTTTCTAAAGTGCCCAACACCTAAAGGAGGGACCTACCATCACAGCATTCAGTGTTTTCTAGAAACAGATCTCTTTGATGGTAGAAAAGTAGTTAGCCTGTAATCTCACTGATAATGTGAAAATGGATGTCTCCAGTTATTTGCAACTGGATATACAACCTTTCAGCCTACAGTAAAGATTAAAATCATTGGCACATGATTATTACTAGGTGAGGATAGCCTTTCTGAAAGGGTAACTGTATTTCTCAATTCTAGTAAATACAGACACTCACATCTTTAAAAATACAACAATAACTGGCACCTTTTTGGCAGACTCAGCAGGCAGGTCAAAGATTGTCTCAGCATGTAGAATGAATTAATATTTCTCTCTCAAGAGTAGGTCCTTCTAGAAAAGGCTTAAGGCAGATTGGTGGGGCATTCAAAGGAAAGCCAGGGGGAGGGCGAAAACTTTTGTTTATATGAACATTTTTCAGATTTAGATCTAGAAACATTTAAGTGTTTTAATGTTTTAATGTGTAGGAAAGACTTCACCCTTCCCTGTCCATCCCTTATGTGTCTGTTCTCCTATATATAGCTCACCACACACGTCCTAAGTTGTCTTCCCACATTTCAGTCCACATTCTCACTCTGCCCTTTTGCGGGACTCTTTAAGTCCCTATCCCTACCTTTAGGCCTTTGCCTCCAATTTTGTGTCTTCTAATCCTGCTCCTAACCCCACTTTACTCACTCTTCCTACTCCATTTCTGAGTTTCTCCCTGTGTGTTTTAGCTCTTTATCCTCTAGATAGAGCTTCTATGCATCTGCTGCTTGCTTTCTCTGAAGCCCAAACAAATTATGGAAGACCTTACTCTATTCCAACAAATACTTTCTGAATATCAGTCATAGTGCACATAATTTAAGAAATGCTATGTTTCCTCTACTTCTTGTTTTAACAGGGTACAAAGTGATGACTTTGCTTTTGTCTCCTCATGCTCACAAAACAGTAACAAATGTCCCCTAGCGCTCCATCACAGTTTAGAGTGCTTCTGCATTCATGTCTCTTGTTTGGTCATGCAGGCACATCTGCGGTACCAAAAATTTACCCTGAAGAGATTTGTTAACTATTTGTAACTAGTCAAGTATTTAGTGCTAAATGAATAAGGGTAAAAAACTGAATAAATCAAGTAACAAAGGTTGAGACAGATAGTATAACTAACTTAAAATGTGGTCTTCCTGACACCCAGATATAGTTGTTGGTTTCTGACAAACAGGTAGTGGGAGGACTACTACATTTTCACTGTCCTCATGGGCATAATATGGTGACCTGAAAAGGCAAGAGAATAATTCTCTGCTCACTTTTCTTTGTGTTCTGAACCTACAATTGTAAATGCAGGCTGGCAGAAGTGGCTTGCCTTGCTGGCTCCTCACAGATGATATAATAGCAGTGGCTGCAACTTTTGCATGCCTGAATTAGTAAGCATTGTGCCTCCCTATGATTCTCCTAGACACTGCATCGCACCTACATTGCATTCTCTCACCCAGAACCATGGATTACCATTCTTCCTCCAACAAATGTAGTACTCTCTGTTTAGCCTACATTCAAATCATTCTAGTCACTTAAGAAAACATCTGAAAGGAAATAAACACCAATTAAGGCACAGCCACTTTAATGCACTAAAGATCAGCTCTGAACATAATTTCCTTGCTTTCTATCAGATAAATCTCCCATTTTTGAACATTCCATTTTGTACTTAGATTATGTCTTCTCAGATAAGCTTTAAGCATTACCATCTGTTCTGCAGCAATCACATGATCCTATCACTTTGATTCAGTTGAACACAAATCCCTTTGACAATAGGGAAACAGCAAAATAACACACATTTGTTCCAAAAACTGCCACAACCATAGATTGTTCAAGGGCTGCTCTATAGTGTAGGTAAAAGACACGGGGAGACTCTCCCATAAACCTCCTGTCCGTGCCCCACTCCGTCCAGGCAGCATTCTGACGCTGAAGCTTCTTGTTTGCTAGGGTGATTGAGTCAGTGTTTCAGCTGTGTTCAGCTGCCCCAAGGGCTGAAAGCTTAGCCAGGGCCCCATGCCTCTGCATGCCTGCTAGCATTTGGAAGCAAATCCTGAGTCACAGGGAATACACCTTTCTCTTGCAGATGCAAGAGCACTATAGTTAACACCTCTCAGCAGTCTCTGAGGCATTCTTTCCACATCTGTCCTCTGCAGGCAACTGGCCCACAGCCGCTACGGTTGGCCATTGCAGCAACAGATCTTCCCTGCTGGTTTCTAGGAGAAAGGAAAAAGCAGAGGAGTTTGAACCCACTGTTGTGGCCACATCTTTTAGCTCTAGTGAAAGGCTGGTGCATATTATGCAGATATTTGGAGCATTCTTCTGCTTAGAATAATTTCCCCCTTGGAATGGAAATAGACCCTTCTACCAAAAAGATTCCCATTCAGACTCAAATTATGGAAGACGGTATAAAATATTTTTCTTTAAGCTTTAAAAGAAGCACACACTGTACTGTCAAAGTAACTTGCAGTCCCTAGCTTTGCCTATGCAAACAATGTATATATACTGCATGAATCACCCAAAAAAGGTGCCTTCTCTCTATGTCCACCTACACTCCTGCTCAACAAAACGTATTGCAAACTTTCTATCACTCAGAAGGTAAGTTCTCCTTATTTCCAATCACTGGATAATTTTCAAAGGGAATGTTTCAGCTACATTTGTGGTTGAACACCTGAACAGGCTAAACTGCTGCATATTGATAAGTTATGACTAATTGAAATTTAGGCTACTGATTTATTTTGAAGGAAAATACAGCAATAAACCAATGTACTATAAATTCTAGCTGAATTTGGTATTATGACTCTTCTAATTCATGTAATTTACAGACAAATTCAATGTTTCATTTTCTCCTCTTATTTTAAGGGCACTGAAAATTCCCTGAAAATTGCTGGAATACGAATTTCTATATGAGAACTATGAGAGTGAGAATAACAAAATGCTCTGATTTCAATGGTGCAACGACAAAAACATCTTGGACCATGCACTGTTCATTTACCTTTTGGCATCTATTTAAATACTGTATTTTCTCCAAGTTTGTAAGCTGTTTAAATAGTTAATCTGCAAGCAATTGGTAAATATAAATCTCTCAGAAGCATGCTATCTTTTTTCCATCAAGCTAAAAGGGAAAGGGTGATTCATATTAAATGTATTGATGATAGAAGAGCTCTAAATAGCATTTTATCTGCAATACTCTATTTGAAAGGAACGAAGTGCAAGTTAAACAAACAGTAACACAGAATGCATTTTTTTCAGGGGTGGTCCTCTTGGAAAATGTTAACCACATTAAAGTAGGTAGGTATTGAAATATGCAATTAATTTTAAGTTGATAGAACTTGAAACTGTCATTCACCTGAGCAGGTGGTGGAAGAACCTTCTTGCGTATCTGCTGATTGGGTCTCTGTACTCCAGCACGGTTGTATCCAAGAGGGGTCTTGTTGGAGCATAAAAGGTTCCAAGGCTTGCCTCAAGCTGTGCTGTGGAGTTCAAACACAGCACCAGTGAAACAAGTGAAACTGTTTCAGTTACAACAGGTTGCTCATGTTTGCAGTCAGTCAAATTCCTCAAACGCTGGTGAAATGTGATGTTGTTGTAAGACAGATGAAATTAAAATATGACAGACTGTACAAACACAAACGTGCATATAAACTTTCACTTTAAGGCTGGGTTGACAATGACTTTGAGCAACAAAAACTGTCAAAAAAGGATGAAGTCTATAACACATCAAGTTCTCACCAGCAGCGTACAATTAAAAGCGACTCATAAGAGTAATAAAGTTTGAACAAGTTTGTCCAGTGGAGATCAGCTCTCAATTAGCTCAAATTGTCTTTGTCCTCCTAGGCAAACAACAAGGAAGTTCATATTCTCAGGGATTATTCTGTTAGGTCAGCAGGTAACAGAGCCCTTCTTGTGATGGCCTTGAGGCCTAAGAAACCTCCTTCAGCCCACAGTTCTTAAAAATTAAAATAAAAGGGTCTAGAAACCCTAAGGGTTTGACTCTCCTTCAGCGTGTAATGGTGGGAATCAGGATAACGTCCCTGTAATCAATAAAATAAGCCCCCTTTGTTACTGAAGTTCTGTCTGCTTTAGCTATGTTCTAACAGCTACAGTCCACAGCTGGAGCTCTGAGGCATTCTCCTGCATGTTTTTAATACAAAATTATAAATAATACAAGAGAATACACAGTATATGCATGTGTGCCAGATGCTTAACTGAAAGGAAATCTAATGATCAATAATATTTATGTTATGTGACTTCTGCTTGAGAGTTAACACATAGTACAAGTCTTAATAGGCAGAACAGGGAGAATGTGTTACGTATTTGTTGTAGAGGTTCTCCTTTTGGAGTGAATGTGCAAACTGCTACTGCTAATCACAATTTTGTGGGGGCTTGAAAAGCAAAATATAACCTATTGTCTTATTAGGCAGACAAAAATATCACTGATTTGCTATTAACATTCATTTAAACTAGCCATTTCTGTATTTAGTGATAATGGTTCTTTATTTACAAGCATAGTTACATTTTATTTTATTAGGCTTGATCTCACTAAATGTGCTAATAGTACTGTGTTAGTAATACAGGCAAACTGTTAGTAAATTAGGTTTTCCATTATCCTCAATCTAGACAGCAAGTTGAAGTTTAAAGCTATTTTCTTTCGAAGCAGCAGTCAATTTAGATTAAAATTGAGTACAGCAGTACCCTTTTCTAAAAAACCATGAAACAACCACCCATACTCTATTACCATTGCTGTTTTTTTGACAGCATATTTTGTACTTCTGAAATATTACATCCTATATGGAATATGAGTAACTACTAGCACAGTTACAGGTTCATTAGATAGCCCAGCTTGATGTTGAAGGCAGAATAAAGATTTCAAAGATAACTGCCCCATTGCTATAAATAAAAGGCCCCACCAGGTTTTGCTAATAAAAAAGAAAACAAATTACCATGCCAAATTTGTTAGATTCACATAGAATAACTCCCGGACAGAATATAATTCTGTCTGCTGTAAACAGTGTTAAGGAGCTGCATGGGGCAAAACACACAGACAGCTATTTATAATGTGCATATTTTTACAAGAGTTTCAAAACCAGCTCTTTTCATGGGTCTTTTGAAAAGCGTGTTTTATTTAGAATTGATACACTATGTTTGCAACGCAGAGATTTTTTTAATAAGGTCCCCCAAAATGTGGTAGCTGATGACTTGGCAGCAATGTAGGACACCTCCGAGTTTTTCTATCATCAAACACACCAGAATCCTAAATATTCTTTCTTGCCACAAAAGATGCCTGGTCCCCAGCTGTCTGCCTGCTATGCTGGAGGATAACACCTTCACTAAATCAAGGCACTTCAAATCTCGAAGTCTATTGAGTTTCAAGATAGACAGCAAATCAAGAGGAAGGCATCGCACCAGGCTTCTGCAGAGGCACGGCTGAACCTAAAATTCATCACTTCTTGTGAGGGACCCCAGCTACTACTGCAGGGGGCCAGAAGATTACAGTAAGGACAAATGCTATAATCCTAAAGGAGGCAGCAGAGGATAGTGTATTCAAAGCCTTTGGATCTTGTAATGAAAGAATGACCCTTCAAAAGCACCTTAAAACCCATACCAAAATCCCTTTTCCCTGTTGCAGGAAAATGCCCCTCCTTAAGTTGGTGCTGTCTCAGTGTGACTATGTAACAAACATTTTGATCCCAATATTAACTAGTATTTGTCTGTAAATAAGCTAAATTTATGTAAAAAAGTTCTAGCATATTTATGATAGTATTATATATTACTGCCTATACCATATACATATTGATATCTGGTTTTATCATCACTATTGACACAAACTAAAATGTGATCAACACACTAATCCAGATTTTATTGAAATGACTTGTCTACATATTATATTTGATTCTGAAGTACATATTCTGGCTGACTGGATTCTCGCTATTATCTTCTTTATACAGCAATAAACATATAGTTATAATCCACATATGAATTACAAAGACACCACAAAAATACATTAAAAATATAATCAGTCTCTTACCTTCTCTGGCTGGTGTAAGCTTTTGTTTAAGAAGGTGATTAACAATGGCACTCAAGCACATGTAGCACTGACGACCCATCGTGTTCCAGTTCATGGTGTTCAGGACATTAATTGCCTCATGTATCTCATCGTAACGAATATACTGGTGGATAATTTCCACAAGGCCCAGCTGCCCTCTTGTGAACACACCTTTTACAAGAAATATTAAAACCAAAGATAGTGTTACATAAAACACAGATGACTACTTTTCAGCACAGTTAAAAATAATTGCTGTTGGCTATAATTAGAAGGTTTAACAGATTTCAGTATTAAATTTTTATGTCAGAATGCTCCTTATCATGTTAGCATATTTATACTGAGGCTGCTTTGGACAGCAGAAAAAAACATCAGTGACCTTCATAGATCAAGGTTGAGTGAACACAGCCAGTATCCACTGGTGACAGAATCATATAAAGAAGTTTGTTTAAAACATGGTAGAAAAAGCTTATTCCCAGTTTACCATTATTATATTGGAGAAAATAAATTAATATTCGTAGCAGCTCCCTCCTGTAGGAAGTACTACTGGCGACACTAAAAAATAGCATTTGTGTCACACAAACATACAAGTTTACAGCAGCAAGTTACTCATTTACTCTCTGCATTGAAATTGCTCTAGAACTTCTACCTTGGCAAGATTCTCTTGAGCGAAGCATTTCTTCTGTGAGGGGATATCATGAAAGACATCAACATCTAGAGACCTCTGAATTACAATTGCATATGAAACCAAACCCAAACTTGCCATAATGGGGCAAAACCCGAACAATACACTGGTCACTCCACGAAAGCGTGATTTAGCTACAGCATTCTATCTCTGAAAAGCAGAATTAAAAGACTGTTTATGTTTCTTGACTTGCAGATCTTGGCTTCTGAACAGAAAATGTGACTGAAAAGCTGCAGATAGTAATGTTATTTATTGTCTCTGAGTAGCCAAATGATCATGTGACATAGGGGTCACATGGCACTTTAGGAATTGTTGCTTGCTTTGGGTCACTGTGTTAGGGTATTCTTTGTCACTACTGCTTCAGGTATTTAAGAGAGACCAGAATACATTTACCATTCCCCTCACTTTAAATAAAAACATAATGTCATGGTTTTGTCAATTTATATTGCAATGTTGTTTGTCAAAACCAATTTTAAGCAAAACAAAAAATAAATAAAGGGAACACACTGAATTTCATTACTGATACTGAAGCTGGGGGGAAATGTCTAACAACAGAGAAAAGCAGATCTGACATATAGAAAACATACCTCACAAAACTTTCATAAATGTAGTTGTATATATTGTTTATGATGTAAAATAAGAATGGGAAAAGAAAAAAAAACGTAGAGGAAAACATATATACAAGTTTGGCCAAAAAAGCTTATCTATTTATTTTTTGTAACGGAGAAATACTTGAGATTTTTAGAGTCATTAAAGAAAAGACATGGTTGTCTATTGTATTTCACTTTACATTTGCATGTATTAAAGCCTATGAACATTATAATATGTCATAGCCCTGTATTTAACCTGTGCATGTGTGATAGTATCTAACTGTTATGGTAGACTTTATTCTTCCTAAATGTTTAGTGTTTTAAAGTATTACACGAGTTGAGTAACCTTCATATTAATCACTAAGTGAAGCTGAACGTACTTATTTGCATGCTAATTAAATATAGTATTATATTATAAATGTCTTTTGCTGAACCACCGGCACCAGTACCAAGTTTGCATTATCCAAGATCTGGGTTGACATCAATGACAAGAAGCCACAGTGCTTTTGAAAATGAGTTTGCCATTGGACTCCAAAAATATCTGCCATTCATGTTTGAGGGTGAATTTAATAGGAATCTTTTCCTGAAATAAATCTGGCTAGACAGCACAATTCACAGAACTTGTCCAAAATCATATGTCAGTTGGAAGTTAAAAACATATTTGCCTAGTCACACTGACATAGTTTTTTAACAGACTTTTATGGGAAAGAATTCCAAGCCATGAGTTAATTATGGATTTTATTTCAGCCCTGAATGCCTGACTGGGTTTTGCTGTCATGGATCCCTAAATTTTCCATATAATTTATATTTGCGTTATTTCTCAAATAGCAGAGAACTAAAAACCACTGAGGTTGGGAAGAGGGGCTGACTAATCAACACAGCATTAACTTGATCATGTGGAAAACTGAGAAGAAGAGGGGTAAAGCTGAAAACCAGGATGCAATAGAGAACAGCAGATTTTTGCACAGTGGACTACAAAGAGGAAGGGAGGGAGAGAAAGAGAGCTTTGCCCTCCTCCTGGAAGAGATTTTACAGTAATTATACAGAATGAATTTTAAAATGTGATAACTTTCAGCTGTAGAGGTCAACATCTTCCCATTTGGATGCTTGACTTCTCCTGGGTGGTGCGCTTCCAGGCAACCTGCTTGGGAAAAAGAGGTGACAGCCAACTCACTGCCTAATTGATTTAGGAACGGTGCCCAGGGAGACAGTCCAATTAAGTTTACAAGCTGGCAATTAGCAGGAAAGGCCTCTAAATCCCTGCACTGAGAGCCTGCTTGCCTTCCTAAGAACATAAATGTGCTAAAGATAGCAAGGGGAAAGCTGTGCTTTCTGGAAGCTGTTGTGAGAAAACCCCACAAGGGAGGACTAAAGAAAAGCAAGGTAGATGTGTAGAGTGCCTTCTGCTTGACAGGTAAGAGGTAATTTAGAGTTGTTTTTTTAATGGCCAACGTGCACAAAACCATCAAGTTCTGCGGGTACTGTTCAATGATTAAATCTGTCATTGAACATAATGCAACTAAATTATTTCAAAATAAATGATAAGTTATAAATAGTTATTTTTAACCTTTTTTTTTATAACAGTAATAATCTGCACTGGCTTTTTTAAAACTATACAACTCTAAGTTAATCCAATATTTTTGTTTCTAACACCCTATTATATGAATTTACTTGTTTGCAGTGGCATACTTTTTTAAGTTTTTAAATGCAGTCTTTCAAATATTTAGGTTGGCAATGCTTTTAGACAGGATTTTTCCCCCCAAAAAAGTACATGCACATCCCAGTAAGTAATGAAATAAAGTAGGTTTTCAAACCTTTCTGTCACTTAGGGTTTTGGTTTTTTTTTTAAAACCTTCTTCCTAATCTCGATAGCTTTATACAAAAGAATCATAAAAACCCTCCTGTAAAGATCTACAAAGGCAATCCTGTTTCCTTGGGCAGACAATGAGCAAAATGTTGAAATTTTCCAGGATGAGTATATTCGACATGGCTGTCTGCCCTGCTGAAACACTGCCTTGGTAGTCAGAAGATTTAAGCATGATTGTTTTTTTTTAGCTCTCACAGTGGGTTTGCACCACTGTAACTTGCCTGACTTGAATGGAATGAATACAGTTCTCACTGATGAGCAACTGCAGGGGTTTTATTCTTAGTTCAGCCACTGACGCATTGTGTAACTCTTGGAAAGCCTTTTAGCTTTCATTTACTGTTTCTTCTTACTCTGTTTGTAAAATGAAGATAGTTACAGTTTTACTCTTTCAAAGTCTCTTTACACCTAAGATAAGAAGTGCTATATAAATTCTAAAATTAGTATTAATACTTCTTTTATTCACAGCCCCTGGCAAATGAAATTAGAGACTTTTATGAAGTTTATGAAAACCTTCTTTCTTGTGTGAAATGTCTTATTCTGTCAGACCTCATTTGAAAAGATACTAAGTAATCATGAAACATAATGATCTCCTTGGTTCATATCTTCAGATATCGTTGGAACTATGTGCTTGTAAAGCTATGTTCCCATATATCTAAAATGAGGGTGCTTTTGATATAGATGTTTCTTGTGAGGAAACATCTACAGATCTTGAGATATCTTGAGAGCTCAAGGTTCAATAGATGTGCTCAATAACTTACCGAGTTTAAAGTGAAGTACTCCTAAGGGTCCTTTGTCAAATCTAACTAACAAAAGATCGTGAATATTTGTGCTGTCAGTGCTGGCAGGGGCAACTTGAGGAGCAGCCCACTGGATCTGGATGAGGCTGCTAGGTACGTCAAAGTGTTTACTGAATTGCAGAGTTGCCTCAGGTGAATAGTCTTGTGCCAAGAGCTGAATTTTAATTGGGGACAGTGCCGTGTCAAAAAGTTGGAGCTCCCCTTGAGAGCTGCCAACCATAAATATGGCTCCGGAAGGGTGGTAGGTTATTAAAGCAGGCAGCAGTTCTGCTTGGGCTAACAGAGTCACTTGGTTGTAGGCTTCATACAGAATTACTGATGAATCTTCACAACCCAGGACTAGTTTGTCTTCTGTAACATCTCTGCAACAGCTGATGGCCTTGGATCGGAGTGGTATTCTGGTAACTGTCACACACTGCATTTTGCTCCTAACACACTTGTAGATGCAACTGTCAGCCATGGGCTCTTTGTCTACGGAGACGGAGTGCTCCACTGTGTAAACTTGATAAGGCTGATTAGTGCTGAAGCTTGCATCGAGCGGATCCCATTCTGTACGCACATAACTCAGAACCTAAAAAAAATCCAAATCATTTTTAGTCATTTTTAACAATGTATTCTTACTTTGATGATTTAAAAATAGACTGCCGCAAATACGCTTTCTCATGGGTCAGTAAGCAAAAGCAAACAAGCATTTTAGAAATTAGAGTTGTAAAATCTACGGTCTTAACTCTTAAAAGGTTAATTCCTTTGATGAAAAAAACCCTGCAATACAGTTTGAGCTAGATTTGTTTGTCCAGAGTATATAATAGTTTAGCAGAATAGAGGATAAATGATGCAATGGTCCTAACAGTGCTGATAAAAGGAGAAATCAGCAACTGACTGATAGAAAATAATATCTGATTATTTACAAGTGGGTTGGGGAGAAATCTTCTGGAAGTGTTCTGGAAAAATTTACAATAGGTTATAAATTTTATGGAAAAATTTATAATAGGTTACTTTGAGCATCACATGTAGAGGCTTTCTGATCATTTACTCTAGCCCACGGTAACAGAAACTACTACATTGTAGTGGAAGAAACAATAGCATGTTTAAACAATGTATACTATACACTGCCAAATGAGTAGGTGGTAGATGTTCTTCAGTGCCATATAGCTTTAGATGCAGAATAAACGAGTCTGTGATAGCAAAAAAGGGGGACCATTTACAGGTACTTGAAGGTTGAATGAACTGGAAGAAGAACAGAGAGGCAGAATATCATACAAAGACAGCAGCTGGCAAAGAGCAAGAATTTGAAGTGTGGAAACATGGGAAGTACCATAGAGTGATAGAGGCAACAGTGAAACCAATGAAGATTCATGTCCTTCAATATAAGGATTTGAGTGAGAGGTGCTATAAAGGATTTGAGCAGGGAAATTGTAGGATAAATACCAGCTGTAAACAAGTTGCAAATAGCTTATGAAAAGATGTTTCTTTGAAAGAAAGAGAAAACCAATGTCTCTAGAAAAACGAGAGTAGTAGAAGTCAGTCAGAAACTTGCTCGTATTTGTTCATGCAGAAATAAAGAGTGAAAGGAAAATGTCAAACTGAGCCAAACCCCACCCTCAGGTATACCCACAGCATTCTTCGCACTGCAAACTGAAGTTGCTGACCTGCCGCTAATTCTGGAAGCTCCTTCTTTTGAATCCAGGTGGTATGCAAGTAGTATATACACCGAAAGGGGTAACAAATGTGATTAAAAGGCAGAGAGAGGGTGAGGGAGGAAACTTGGAAATTTCAGGTTGAAAACAGAAATGCACACATGACGTTAAAGCAGTTTAAGTTTGATTTTCACAGATCACAAGACCAACTGAACACATAATTTAGGCTTTCATCCTGTAAAGAGGGAGAATAAGAAATTGAGATTTTTGTTTGTCATACCACCCATTACATCTTCAGAAGCAACTGATGAATCTATAAACACGTTATTCGGAATCCTGATCAGACTGATTAGGCTGTTTTCTTCTGACAATTTTGTCAGCTAAAGGGTTTCTCATTCAAAAGAGAGAAAAAAGGATTATCGCAGTTCTGTGGCTGCAAACCAGCTGCTGGTTAATACAAGTCTTTGCTACTTTAAGTTAGAGACATACAAAGAACCCCTTGATGCAAAAGCATGTAATACATGCAATATAATACATGCCAATGCATCCAGCCTGTGAAAACCAGTTTCAACAGAGTAGTCAACAATGAAAATATATACCAAAGAGGAAAGAAAAGATTAAATTATGGTAGAGTTTGAAAAACATTTCCTCACCTCGACCATTCCCTCATTAGTGACTTAGCCTCTGCAACTAGTCATTTATGCCCACAAAATGTGCAGTGGCTACTGTGCTGATGCTAGAACTGCTCAAATATACAGTTTATTAGCGTCTTAAAGCACATAGGAATTGCAAGGAAACCTACAAAAGAGGTCATTGTGGACAAAGGATTACTGTGACCACAGAGCTCTCTAACCCCAAATAAAGACAAGGTGAAGTGTTATTGCTTGTTCTTCAGTTTTCCCTAAGAGTATGTATGGAGACCCATGTAGCTGCCTTTCAAATATGTGAAACAGAAATCTTGCCCAAGCAAGTCTTCAAAGCTTCCATAACTTCAGTGAAATGAGCCTTGAGGCCCTCTGGGACTCAGGTTTCTGTCTTCCTGTGGCAGATTTCAATGCACAATTCATCTACATATTTTGATCCAAAACCAGTGTTCCTCTCTGGACATCTTCTCACAAACTACAAGAAAGTCATGAAGATCCACACAATAATCAAGCCATTGAGAGATAAAAGACTGAAAGCACTACTAAATTCTGAAGAGAGACTGGCCTTGAAAGTTAAGACAATACAGAAGAAAACATGTGAAACATGGATTTTACAACTCCATAGGAGTGACTGCTGGAAAACAGCAATGGAAATACCTACAGAAAAATCAGTGTTGTCTTCTGACTGTTTGAGAGTCAGCAAGCAAACTGAATCCGATTAATAATTTTGTTCTGCCTTGTTAGAGCAAAAGTGGGACAAAATGTTGCTCACTACTTTGAATTTAAAAGAAAGTAAAACCTTATATTTTGGAATGCTAATTTAACGAGACTTGGGATGAGAAGCTTCCTAGCTTCACTTAATTTTGACAGCAAATCCTTGAAATGAGGTCTAGGGTTGGGCTGGTTGTTGTATATAATGCAATACTAAGCTAGGAAAAAGTTCCTGTGAGGAGAGAAAGACAATTTGCCGCATTTCAAAACACAATTTTTCACATACTGTTTAAACAAATTAGGCTTAAAGGAATCTTTTCTAGACACTACTGTTCATATTCTGGCTGAAAATGAGAGAAACATTTCTCCTTAGATTGGAACAGATAAGTTTTTTCTCATGCATTAGTGGCCTCATGTGCCTCTTGGAGGAAGAGTACCAAGCCGAGAGACCTCTTTGTTCTGGTTTCCAGTTTTGCTGAGTGTAACTGGTATTTGGCACTCTGAAGGGGAAAAAAAATGGATGTTCTTTTTCATCTCAGAGGGAAGATTTGAGTTTCTCTGTCAGAAATTACTTTCATTATTAATTTTTCATGCTGATAACTGTAAAAGTAAAGCAGAGAGACATACAACTACAGAAACATGTTAATAAGACTAAGATAATACTTTTTAAAGATAAGAAGTCTAACAGTCAAACCATCTTTTTTTTTCTTCCCAAGAAGATAGTACTTCATTACCTGCCAGTTGTTTTTCTATCTGGTAAGTAGCCTTGTGCTAGTAAATAGTGCTTTAGCAGTTCTTTAAAAGGAATCCACTGGGATTCCTTGCCGGTGAGCAATAGATCTCTGGAATCCAAAAGGGGAATGTTAAAATAGCAATTTATCTTTAATTTAACAAAACATTCACTTGGGGAATTGGGAGGTAAAAGCTGGAGGAGTTTCCTCAGAAGCGGGTAGGACAACAGGAGGATTTGCGGAGGAGGGGACAGGACCAGGAATGTTAAAAGACAAAGCTGAAATATCACATGGTGGGGTGTATAATCTGTTCAGTATTAAGTGCTTTCCATAAATCTTGGACTAAGCGCTTAGCCTTGGGTTTCAAGCAGAGAATTCTGGAAGTACTTTGCATGAAGTAAAACCAATTACTTTCTGTAAAGTAATAAATCAAGCAATAATAAAAAAAATTAAAAGTCCCTGTAAGTTTTGTGACGTATGCTACAAAAACATAGTAAATGTCTTTAAATATTTTTAACATAATTCATGTATATTTCCCTTATTAATGTGGCAGTCATGCACCACTACTGCACATTTATATTGTTTTTCCCCTTGCATTACTGGCCTGTGCTCTGCATCAGCTAATCAGCAGTGGGAGAGATACAATACGCGCCAAGTTCTCAAATCCTAGAGTCAGAAATTGTAACAGTCCAAGTAAAGAAATCTGTTAATCTGCATAATAAGGGTCTGAATTATGCTAGTTAAAATACTTTCTTTCATTTTGTTTGAAAGAAAAAATAGCACAAGCTCATGTGGGCAGTATCACTCTTCTCAGCAAAAACCTTTGAACACTTAAAATTGAAGTATTTTGCATAGAGTGCTGGGAAAGGATAAAGTCCACATATCAAAACAAGTAAGAGTTTTAACCAATAGTTCTTAAGCAGAAAATTGGCTTACCAGCAGATAAAAAAAAAGAAAACAAAAGAAACAGAGAAATAAGCTTGCTGTGACTGAATTGTGTGTCTTTCAGATGAGAAAAATCTTTGATTTATTTTATGGATGTTAGAAAAATGCTTATTTAATTTCACAGGGTGAGGCTCTAAACAACAACAAACACTTTAATTAGAAACATAGAGTGGGAAGTGTAGTACACACTAATAAAATTGCTTTAAGTGTAGCACTGTGAAGATGGAATAAAAAAAAAATCCTATTTTAAAACATTTCTACAATAAAAATTCTACTCTAGGTTACTTACTTGGCTGCATTGTATTTACTGCCCACGTGCAAACTTACTGACTGATCTTCAGTCAGCATTTCTTCTTTTCTTTTAAAATTTATCATCATCATCTTTATCCCATATTATTCATTGGACTTTTAACCCAATGTGACATGAAGCATTTTACATTCTTTGTGATCTGTGTGTGAGAGATATTTCAGCTATTCAGTCACACACGGTAGATGTTTTTCTGAGTGTTACAGTAATTGTAGGATAGCTCACTCATAAAAGATCTGCTGTGTTTATTTCACAAGTTTGAGGCACAATGTGGAAGCAATAACTACTAAACATTAGCTCTTGGGAGAAAGAAAAATAGTATTCTCTCTCAGGCAAGTTATTTTTTTCCACAAGATTGAAGTATAATTTCAGTGATTCTTACCAGCACTAAACAGAGTGAAAATAAACATGGCAAAGACAAATGAAAGTACTACAATAACTAAGCCCTGGCATCATCGCCGCCTGTTAATTTACATTTGAAGAATAAAGTTCATGTTGATTTTAACACAACTTTCTATCAAAGCATTTAATCCAAGAATGATTTCACATCAGATCCTATTTATTCATAGCAAATTGTTTGAAATGATTTCTGGAAGATTCCTCTTCCAGTTTTGAAATCAAATTACCAGCATTATCTCTGCAGGGTGACAATTCACATAACATCCTTGATCATTGGTACTTTAACAAAGAAAAAACATACAAACCTCCAATATTTAAATAAATAAATTGGAGAAAGGACAAGTTTACTGGAGGAAACCAATGCATGCAGGAAAGCAGAAAAAGGTTAGACCAACACTCCTGCAGCAACGTGTACGCATGTATATAAATGTACATTGCACGCTAAAGTCAAATGTTAAAAACATTTTTATTTCTTCAAGTGACGATTCCTTATCAAATCTTAGAGCATTCAACATAGTAAACACTGATCTTAAAAAAAAAAAAATGTAGTAAACCAAGTCAAGATTTGCAAGGAAAAAAGTTCTTTCTGGTTTTAGAGGAAAAATGTCTACCTTTAGCCTTAATAGTAGCAAATGTTAAAGAATAAAGCCACACAACAAAATTCAAATAAAATTTATAGTGTATTTAAAATATAAAATGTATTTCCTCAATTAAGCTGAAAACCTGCTTAAGTACACAGTAGCCAATCATGGTATGTGTAACATGAATCATTCCAATGCAGAATGCGTAGTTACAGGATATTATCATGATGAGGGGTTGAGTTGCTTTGTCCCAGAGCTATTCCAGTCTTCATTCTAATAAGCACTCTTCTGGTGGGCAGCAAATATAACTCAGAAAAGTCCTCCATGAAGCAGCATCACCTAAGAGCCTCATTTACCTTTGCTCTGCCACAAGAAGAGCGTCAGTAGCTGGCTGACCTGTTGTGGTTCTGTAGGTCAGCACCGAAGTGCTGTAGAACAGCTGTGGGCAGCACCCATTCATTTCCTTGGGCTTGGTTTCCTTTTTTATAAGCCTAATATGCCAAACAGCTTTTTATGGGCTAGACATGCAGCAATTCCTGCTTTTCTCTTAATTCTAGATAATAATGCTGTTTTAGCCAAGCAATACTACTATTTTCAAGTAAAATACTGGTGGTACCATTTTACTACACTTGTTTTTGATAAATGCTCCAAACTGAATGAGCTCATGCTTCTTACACTTCTTCTGTTGACAACAATAATTTACTGGGAGAAAATTCATATTATTGGTCAAATATGATAAATATGATTATTTTTTTTAATGCGTAACAATGGCATTTCATGTTTTTATGCCAGGTCTATACCTGAGGAACACTACAAATGGTAAGGGAATAGAGCCAAAGACAGGCAAATAAGCATGCTTAGAAACACTGCATTTTTGTGGTATCTGATCTATGGAGTAACTGTTAAGAACCTCTCCAGAAATGCTGACACTTTTGCTCAGATTTACACTATCAAATGACCCTCAGAAGTTAAAGTTAAGTTAGTTCCCCTCCAAGACACTGTAGGGGAAAAATATACCTTGGCTAATTACAGACTGGGGATTGATCCTCCTTCTAGAGCTGCTGGGTTATGACATCCCCTATCCATGCACAGAAATTTAACTATTTGTATAAGGAGCCCTAGAGAAATCAAGGAGAAAAACACAACCAAACACTACCACAGGTAACATTTCATGGATACATAGGAGAAGTGTAGAGGCACAGTGTCTTAAGCCTTACACAGCAGCCCGCTGAGCATCCAAGATCTCATGGACATGGAACAGACTAACTGACAACCAGCAAGACAGTTTGTTATCTATGTATGACTAAGTTTTCCATAGCCCTGGCACAGTGCTTAGTATTTTACTGACAAATAGAGAAAAATAAATTTCATTTGAAGATCTGAGAATTAAAACAGACAAGTACAGGCAAGAATCAGAAAAAGGAAAGCAACCAAACAGTTAAATTTGGCAGTTCTGCTTTTAAAAATAATTTTCTTATATATACATATTACAATATAGGCTAAATTAAAAGCGTTATGAGTTTAGGCCTAAAGCCTCAGTAAATGCTTATTAACATTACTGTTAAGCACCAGTGATGTGCTTGCGACTACACTATGCCTCAGCCCTGAGCAATTCAAGAGTCTAAACCAGAACTGTCTATTGAAAGATGCACAACACTGCTGTAACTTGGAAATCTCTCTGTAATATATAAAAATGAAACAGGGAAAGCTTTAAACTAACAGGGTGGTTTCTATTAATTTCTTTCCATTAATTTCTTAGACAAAATGAGTGTCTAGAAAACCTCTTGGAAAATAGAGATTGCAAACTGCTCTGTTTGACATTAGGGAGCTTTCTGGAATATGTGGGAAGGAAACAAAAGCCAAGGGAATGTTGCTGTCAGAACCTGGGCATATGGAAATCACAGTAAGAAGCAAGATCTGAAATGTTAGTAGGATAAACTTTCATGGCATCAAACTGGCATAGAGACTAGGCTGAAAAAGCTTACAAGGAACAGACACACATTTTAGCTACCAGAGTAATTTTTATATGTGATTGGGCATAGCTGCAGGGGAAATTGAGAACTGCAGGTGTGTATCAGGCAGAGGAGAGAGATGAGTCAAAGATGACCGCTAGTGGAGAGAGGTCAATTGAAAAGAAGTAAAGAAGGCAGAACCGGAGGTAATTTAAACTTAAATTCTACAGTGACTAATGACTGAAATAAGAAAGAAAAGCTGTCTCAACTGCCTCTTCTTTTTTGCTTTCAGTATATAGAAAATCTCAAGGGAAAAATACCCTCACTGAAATTAGTATTAGTTATCAAAGTAACAATTCCAAGACATTAAAACATTTATATCTTTCCTAATTAAAAAGAACAGGATGTTGTTTGTAAGAGCAGCTTATTTTAAAGTGTTACTTAGGGCTTTTCCCTACAGGGAAATATCCTGTAATAGCTACTCCAGAACAGCTATTCTACAGCTGATACTCGGGTTTGTGCTCTTCTCCCACAGTGAGTGCCTTTTTAGTCCAAATTAGTGGTGTCTTAAGATAAACTGACAATAAAACTCCAAATACAGAAGCACCTATACAATATGATAGCTCAGAACAGCTTTTACATTTTAAGTTCAGGCTCCAGCTCTTTTCAGAGTTTTTAGCTCCTATAAGAAACCGGATTAAAATATTCTTAAATAAATAAAATAAAAATTAAACAGATTAAATGGAGACTTCTGCTTAAAACTGTAATCTAAGCCAGTGTCAGGAGGAGGGTCATCTTGTTGCCTAGTTCTAACTTGTAGCTCACATTCCCACCTGTAGATGGGGAATTTTAACTTTTTCTTCAAGAAAAAAATTGGTCCCTGATTTCATCAGTACTCATAGCAACAATTTAAGCAGCATCTTGGTGTATCTAAAAATTTTATAACAGAACACTTAAAATAGATGTGAAATGCCTATCAGTTAACACTGCATACAACGTAAAGTAACTGCATTAGACAATCATGTAACAGCCACAGTTGTAACTCAGATTAGAGCTTTCTAGTGATACTTCCACATTTCTATTTTCAGTGTTAGCAGTTCCATTAGATATTCCATTATAAAGACTTAACTTCCTTTCTACATGTCTCAGATTGACAGTTTTGATGTGAAAATAGCAAACATACTAACTGAAGTACTTTTTCATTAAATTACAAACCTTTGCTTTTAAGATTATGATGGCTGATCTTTCTTATGTTTTTGATATATCTGTTCTTTATATCTACCTGATTATGCATTTAAGTCAAATTTCTTTAGCAAATCTGAAAAATCATGTAACGAGTTCAGCACTTTACCTCCAGTTTGCCATGGGCACAGCCTAATAGCAATAGGTTGGCTCTGTCCCTCTCACAGGAAATAGGAGACCAAGGCCATGCTCCTTCATTAGTTGCTGACCACCAGCAAATGACGGTATCTTGCATACAGTTTATTGCTAGGTGACGTTTCATCCTTCTACCTTCTGGTCCAAGTATATCAATATAAGAAATCTGATGGAAGAAAAAATGCAGAAAATATTTGAGGTGATAAAATAGCATAGTAGGAGCAATTGGGAGCATTTAGTTTGGATGTGTGGAAGTGAATGTATTTATACACAGAGGGCTGCATACATATACATTTATATAGGCTGTCTGTAAATGTAAAAAATATCCCTTCAGACAGAAAAAGACATGCTCACACTTTTATCTATGGGGAGGGGATTGGGAAGGAAAGGAATGTGAGTTAAGAAGGAATTTACTGCAATGACTCCAATCAATACCAAAATGTACAGTCATGGTTGCTTGACAGCATCGACCTACACACAGGATTTAAGCTTAGCCATATTAAATGACAAGTTCTGCAAAGCTGACCAGGGAGCTAAGGCTAATGTCTAAGACATAATCAAATATTAAATATATTCTACAGTATTTGAGCAAACATATATCTTTCTTTTTCCTCCTTAAATTAAGGAATCCAGATACAAACATCGGCTTTGCAAGAGAATATATACTCTTCTGCATAATGTGGATGAGCTACAGCATCATGCGTAAAGTTTATGCAGCTCTTGAGAATTGTGCCTCTTTCTCAGGAAGGATTTGTGGAATTTATTATTCAAACTCTGTTATTTTGGAGCATGGTTATTTGAAAACATGAGCAGTGCACCATCTGGGTGACACATGCCAAGGAAATATAGATTGCACTGCATTTCTGCTTAAGGAATTAATGGAAGGTTGATAGCTAGGGGAAAAAAAAAAACTATCTTGCCATTGCTGGTCAGCAATAATCGAACCACTTTCTGGGGATTAAGCGCATGGCTAAGCCTACTGGACCAGACACTAGCAAAGGGCAGGGGGTCTTCTTATCAGAGAAATGCTTCTGGAGCCAGTCTCACTACATGACAGATTGCTTTCATATTCCTGTCTGCAAGGCAACAAAGGATGGCAGTAATGCGATAATGCCAGAGTGCAATGGGTGTTAAGAACCCGTTGCATTTATGTATTGTATTTAGTAAATAATCAGGCTCATCCAAATTGTGATCTCACCACTCAACCAAGGCCATTAAAATCAAGGTTAATGCTTTAATAATCCTTTGCTGTTTTTTATATGGTCAAAAAGAACCCTTTTCTATTTGCATGGTCATAATATTATTGACCTCTTCATCCCCTGAATACACATCAAAAGGAACTGAAATCAAAGTAATTACCAATGTTGTTCTCTCATGGTAAACATTTAACTCCTTGTACTGCCTCCTCCTTCAGTAAATTGAAATGGATTAAAAAAACACAGATGGGAAAAACTTGCAAAAGGTCAGTATTTTCAGAATATTCTGTGGCTTACTTGTCAAAATACGTAGAATTGTAAAGATAAAACATACATCAAAGTTAACAGGTAGCTGATCCTTCAGTTAGAACTATATATAGTTGATTTGGTGACAAGACACCAAATTTATTAGGGTGGAAAACCACAAAATCTTCCACAGATATTAACTAATCTTGTATTGCAGTGTTAATTGCTCATAACAATTTCACATGTAAAAACAGCCAAAAATCTTTCATAAAACTTTATGTCTTGCATTAGATAAGGCACTTTCAAACATGGACTAATGCCACTAAGAAAAGGCAAAGGAAAACAGTTATTTTCATATTTTGCTGGTCTTCAAGACTGTAGCAATTCTAAGTCTTCCTTTATTTTTTCAAAGTGTAAATAAAATCCAAGGTGGTATCTTTTAGAAAGGACAAAAACAGAGAAAATGATTCTTCCATTTAGGTACATATTGTATAAAAAAAACCCCAGCTTTTGGATAACAAACTGTGAGGAGAAAAGCATGGTTGACCTGTTCTTATTAATAACAGCATACTGGCAGTCCAGTACTGCCTGGCATTCCCTGACAATTTTGTCCACCATGAGGTTGGACACATCACAATGTGGAGTTGCTCTGTGCAGGTACCAAAGAATTTATAATGCTAATATGACAGAAATTTAATTATATCACTGGCTATGATTGTAAGCAAACATTTTCCTTATTTTAGAAATGGGAATTTAAACGCAAATACTACATACACTTTCAGAACTACACAAAAAGTCAGAGGCAGAAATGAAGGCTACACCCAAATTTCCTGAATCTTAGCTACAGATTCCAATCCTGTGGCAGTTCTATACCAGTGCAAGTTAGTTTTTAATTAAATTTCTCTTGGAAGAAAAAAACACCAAAACCCCTAAGGAACCATTTTTTCCTAAAGAGAGCACTTACAATTTGCACATTTGTAATTGACGACCATCTTTTGCTTCTTTTGTTACTATTGATAACAACACTAGTGTTGATTGTGTCTGTTCTTTTAGCTTACAAGTTTGACCAAAACTAGCCAGGAAGAACTCCAGTGCAGAGAGCTGACATAATATTATTGCAGTAGTGAATAATACTTTCTGCTGGCACACACTTGTGCAGTTTTGAAGATAATAAAAAATTTATTTAGCTGCCTAACTACACACAAAGGAACATTCAATTAAGAAATGCAAATGCATTTTTTTGGCTGGCAAAGAAATAATCCACAGTGATTCCCACTGATTTCAAGAGAAAGCAAAGTTTACATTGAACATAGAGGCATTTTGAGAAGCTCAGCTGTGTCAGCAAAGAACTGAACATTACAACCCTATTAAGGAGTGCAGCAGATATTTCTGGTTTCCTAGGGCAGAGAGTTTTCTATGGATTAGGATTTCCTTCTTTCCCAAGCAAAAGTGCCATAACCATTAGATCCAAAATGTGCCCAGCAATTCTCAGAATGAAAATGTTTCCTTAGAAAAAGAATTTTCCTACATAAATTAAGAAGCTATGGCCCTCACAGTTAAATGATGAAGGCAGTCTCCAATTCACCACGGCTTCTTCAATGAAGTTTAGTGCTATTAAAAAACCAACCCACACCACAGACCATACTTGCTTCTAAAGCACAACCTTAACAAACACCACAGACCAGGCACAAGCGCACATCATTTTAAAGTAAACTACGTATCAGCTCAGTTCCTGGTGAACAGTGAACTGTCTCAAATCCACGTTATAGAGGTTGGATCAATCTCGCAAACACAAGTCATTGCTGAAAAGAGGCCCTGAACTGAAACAGCCTGGAAAATGTATTAGATATTCATCCTAGCAGAAAGTATTTCTACCAAGCAAGTTAAAATGTATTATGGCAAAACTTAAATGAAACACATCCTTAAAAAAAGCTTGCCTTGCAGATGCAAACTCCCATATGTAAGGAAGCAAATTACTGAGGGGTTGTCAAGGGAAAAATATTTGCTATTTTCTAGCACAAGATTGTTTTCCTTAACATTTATCCAGGATGAAATAAATACGAACTCTCTAGCTCACTACATCTTTCTAACTTTCCTGGGTGAAGGCTTGTCTCTTCTTCATTCTTGCAGTGAATTGGATGCAGCTCCTTTGCTACCCTGCTTGTTCAAAAGTTAATTGCCTTTGGCCAAGTATTTTTTTCATATTACCATAGTGCCAAGCCACTGCCCTGATGCCAAAGAATTTATGGTCAAAATAAGTTATGTCTACACAGCCCAAACCATCCAAGACACAGTGTAATTCAGCTTGAGACAAGCTGGGTCTACTGAGATCCAAACTAGGTAGTTTAAAGGCAGCTCAGCTATCTCTAGAGTGTTTTTCAGCTACTGCTGTGACTGACACCTACACATAAAGGGCTGGAAAAAAGAAGTATTTTAATCTTCACTGTAAATACTGAATTGAGATACAGACACACCAAGTCACTTGCCTAAGGTCACATACAGAGTTTGTCAGAGGTGAAAAAGTCAGCTTCTCTACCTTGAGTCCTCGCTCAGTGGCTTAATTGTAAAACCAACTCTCACAACAATATGATTATTGTAACTAGAGGGAAAATTAAGATTTCTGCAAAGAATTACAACAGTCTTGGAGCTCATACAGATGACTGAATTATCATAGCTTCATGAGTTCACGTGTATCAGCTGAGCCATAGTAATTGACCATGTATGTGTTTTTAGCCCACAGCAAACAAGAGGTAAAACACATTAGCTTAAATCTTTTACACTGAGGTTTACCATTACAGATTTTGCCTCATGCTTGTTAGATGCTGAGAATGTGCAAAAGGTCAGTTACTGCTGCTCAACTGACACAAGGTAATCTGTTAAGCAGGGGTAACTCAACAGTGTGTCTGAGCCCTTAACCTAAATACAGTAGAAAATTGGATCCCTCTTGGAACAGTATTTTAACTCATTAACTCAGAATGCCATGTAATTTTTCTTTACTTTTCAATACCTGCCATTTTTAGAATTTAAGCTGTTCTCGTCAGTTACAGGAGGGTTTGCAATCTAAAGTTACTGCAGTATTTACAGTCACCATTGACAGCAATACCTTGAAGTCCAAACAAGAGAGTTTTTCCAGTCTTTTGTTTACATCAGGAGAATCCATTTTCTTTGTAAACTGAATAAAACAGAGTTGGTTATGGTCCTCGAATGACAAGATGATGAAACTGTCTGTAAGAACCGCTGAAAAACAAATAAAAATTGTCACCAGTGTAATACCTATTTCTAGTAGCAAACCAAATTACTGAACCCTCCACTGAGACACTGCAAAAAGCAATTTTTTCAAGACAATGTCTTAAATATTACACTGAAGCCTCTGTAATCTCCTAAAAGGCATCAATGTGTCATCCTGCCAGGACCTTCCTGGAAATGAGAAATAAAGCCTAGGGAGTACTCCGATTACATAAACATGAATAAATTATCTCGTATCAAGTTACCACTACATTCAAATATATGTTTTATGCCCTTCCGCGTTAATTTTCATCTCAGTTCAGCTTTCACTGTTTTGTTTGTTTGGTTTTTTTTTTCTTCTTCTCTTTATGGTAAAAACCCCCAGTATGTCAGAAATTCATCACATACAGCGTAACTTCTGTTAAGGATGATAAATGCAAATTAGTATTTGAGAGGTATCTGTTTTTTTGACATCATAAGGTTCCAGATGCTGTTGCAGACACCGAGGAGGCTATTACATGCAGGATTATACTTCAGAGGGGTTATGAGTTTTCTGAAAACTTCACATGGGGGTATCCAAACAATGCAGGAAACCAAGATGGAACAGACTCCCTTGGAGTGTGGAAAACTGCAGTGGAATCCCCGCTGTTATCATAAGAGGGTGCTAGACCAAACGAGTTCAATATAAAAGTGATTAACCAATTTGACAGTGAAAATTAATTAGACAATATTATCTAAGATTTTTTCCCAAGTGTTATCCAGTTATTCAGGCAGTATTATGCCTGCATTTTATGCAAGCAATATTAGGTCTGCATTTAAAGAGATGTCTGAGAATGAAGTGAGTCGTCAGGGCTACTAGCACTAGGTCATTGAAGACTTGTTAATGAGAATTAGGTTTAAGTACAGCTAGCAAGCCCTTTTAGAAAGCAAATTGAGAAAGCTCTGCTGAAAGGAAAATGTCAAGTGAAGTGGAACCGGATTTAAAAACAACCAACCCTGCAAAACAAACACAAAAGCATTTGTGACTAATATCCTAGATTCTCAAATGTATTTTACATATCCTTGAGTAGACTGACAGTTTAGTCTTAACATACTAGCATTGAAAACTTGCTACTCAGCTTTGCTTTGATTTAGACTGCTTTACAACCAGTTGCAATTTCTAATAGTCATGTACTGGCACAGCTCTGAGATTCTAGTATGCAAATGCTAAAGAGTAAAGTTTAGAGCCAAATAATTACCTCTGAAATGTAACACTAACACTAGCTTAAAAAGGAAAAAATAATAAAAGAAATAGTGACAAAGTGTCTGAGATGGTGAGTTAGAAGTTAACTGAGATCCTAAACACACATGAAAATCCAAAGCCACTGAGTATGGTATTCTCAATATGTACAGCTAAAATATTTTCCTATCCTCACAGACATAGTTTACATTAGAGATGACCTACAGCACACCTCAGCTGCTTCTGAAATTGGTTTTGGTTGAAAGGAAGAAAGCAGGATTCAAAGATCCCTGGGCAGGTGCGAATGAGACTAGCACTGCCTTGATTTTCAGTATCCATGGTTGTCCTGGGCAGGAGTGGAGACCAGATCAACATGAATGCAGCTACGGGAATAGTTAGACCATTATTCAGAGAGGACACATATGATGCAGAATCAGATTACCCTAAAGAGGCAGGCAGTGTAGTTAACATTCCAAATACTAGTACTGCAACACCTCAGTGCCACAAAATAATTTAGAAAACGAGAAATACTGTTTCTTTTAGGAAAACAATTTTTCTATAATTTCTAATTAAATTATTTTTTAACATTGCACATAAAAAAATCATAAAAATAATCATAAAAATATTGCCCATTATAATAAAAATCAGGATGACTTTATTAGAGACAGAATTATAAATTCAATCATAATTATGTATCTTGTACACACAAACTGATCTTTATTCCAAATATTAACAGGACATGCTACTCAAGTTAGAATTACATTTCATAAGTCATTTTGGCAGATTGTAATCCTTACCCATTTCTACATATACACAATCATTAAACTAAGAACTACTATGTTTATATGGACTTTTTGTATTAAATATTGAATTTCTTATGGCTAACTTTATAATCACAACCCTAATCCCAACATAGATTTGGAAAGATGTGAAATTATATTAGATTAAACTTAATTTATTCTAGGATCACATTTTGTTGTGCTTCTCACATAAGGATAGTTCAGCTTAAAAATCTGTATTTTGAACACTATTTGCATGGGTAACAAAAGTATCTTCTTTTGTTGTTTATGAAAACAAAAAATGGATTGCAATGACTGGTGTTGGGGGTTGGCTTGGGTTGCTGGGTGGCTGAATGGAAGCAGTCCTATTTCACCTTCAGACATGGGTATTACCAAACATAGAAAACTTATTAATAATTTAAGAAATTACTGAATAAGTGAAAATAAGGACAAGCCATTCTGTAGCATTATTTATGACAGTTTAAGTGGTATAACTGTAGGAAAGCATATTTGATTTATTATTGTTTTAGTTATAAGCTTTCTTAGTTAGTATTTTTATGACACATTAAGCCAATGTAAGGCAAAGTAAGTATAATTTAATTATGCATTTATTATATTTTTTAAAAGATGGAGTATCCTAAGTCCAAAACCCAACTTCAATTTGGGTACAAACTTAGCCTCTTTCCTGTTAGGGTGGTGAGGCACTGGAATGGGTTGCCCAGGGAAGCTGTGAATGCTCCATCCCTGCTGATGCTCAAGGCCAGGTAGGACGAAGCCTTGGGTGAGATGGTTCAGTGTGAGGTATCCCTGCCCATGGCAGGGGGTTGGAACTTGATGATCTTAAGGTCCTTTCCAACCCTAACTATTCTATGATTCTATGATTTTGTCACCTGAAAGTATGAAATCTTCCCTCTGGAAACAAAGAGCAGAAAAGCCTGAGATGGAATGAATAGTTTAGTAATTCAGGTGAAGAGTGAAAAAGAGGAGTCGAGACATCAAATGTGTTCTATGCTATTAGTTGATAAAAAAATGAGGTTAGGGTTAAACTTTTTTATAATAAAGATTCTACTAAAATCATTGCATTAATCTTCAAGACTACAAAACATTGATAACATCAGAGGGACACACTATTGTAGGTTGCTTAAATAACCAGGTCCACATTCAATAGATGCCTGAAGAAAATAAATAATTAAAGATCAAAGTTAAGATAGCATGTATTCTTATTAAAAGCACACCATTTGTGTTTATTTGTTAAGAATTTGGAAGATAATGCCCATATAATTTGGTGCTCACTGAAATTCCATATTCTGGATCATGCATATGCCAAGATACCAGGTTTAATTCTCAGTGGAGCCCTTTAGAGATACACTGAAAAAGCTATACTTGCATTATTAAGCTGATGAAAAAAGGTACATTTTCCTAAGTTTTCTTCCTCGTTAAATTAGAACTTTATTTTTAGCAGTCACTAGTTAATAACAACAGTGAGATTCTGGAAATCTAGAAACCAAATCAGAACACCTGTATGCAACTAATGGTATTCAGCCTATTTTAATAAGTAAATACTTTAATAATAACTACCCATGGTTAATCTTGGCTAATGTTTGATTCTGTCCCATTTTCCCACTTATGAAATAAGCATGACAAGTTCAAATGGCATGTTCACACTGATTATAATGTGTAAGAAACTGAATTTTAGAAACTCATTCAGCATTTGACAAGCCTGAAAACTTTGATGTTAAATATTATTCTTAAAGTGTTCTTAGTCCTGAGGGTTGTAACTAAGGCATTACATGCAATTACTTGTTGTGTTTGCAAGTCCCCAGTGGCAATAATTAGTCTACCTGTTGACATACTGTTTCTCTACTCTATTGTTAATGTAGGCAATTGATTTGCACGTGGCTGTAATTACCATCACTGATGGTGTCGGAGATGAGCTTCCCCACCAGGGTCCTGTCAATCACCACTTTCTCCAGCTGTGGCCCAGAAAGGCTTAGGGACACCAATATACCTGAGTGAAAGAGGAGCTAAATCCAAATAGCAAGAAAACAAGACATCAAGAATCATTAATAAAGTGAAACGTTTCAAGGTACATATTAGCAGCTGTCCATTACATAGCAATCTAATTTTCAAAATTACAAAAAGACTTATTGTTGATATGAAGGTGTCTTATAATGACTTTGAAGGCTTTTTCAATGAAAGAGAGAGATGTAATACAACACTGAATTACACAGGTACAAGAATTACAATTGCTGAACACTTGAAGAAAATGCATGCTAAGCCTCCAAATGTACTAAGTAAGCCTGTTGAAAATGGAGATCAAAATTCTGTCTTGAATGAGGAAAGGGATGATGCTAATCCATCACCCATGGACCTGATTTTTTCCATATGAAGTAACTGCATAGCCTGCATCAAAACCAAAAAAAAAAAAGTATGTCTTTATATTATCATCACAAATTAAAACCAGCACCTTCCTGCTATCCTTGTTATTTCTGATCGTTCATATATTAACTTAATGAATGATCAGGGGACTGGAGCACCTCCCATATGAAGATAAGCTGAGAAAGCTGGGGCTGTTCAGCCTGGAGAAGAGAAGGCTGCGTGGAGACCTCATAGCAGCCTTCCAGTATCTGAAGGGGGCATATAGGGATGCTGGGGAGGGACTCTTCATTAGGGACTGTAGTGGTAAGACAAGGGGTAATGGGTTCAAACTTAAACAGGGGAAGTTTAGATTGGATGTAAGGAAGAAGTTCTTTCCTGTTAGGGTAGGGAGGGACTGGAACAGGTTGTCCAGGGAGGTTGTGAATGCTTCATCCCTGGCAGTGTTCAAGGCTAGGTTGGATGAGGCCTTGGGTAATATGGTTTAGGGCGAGGTGTCCCTGCCCATGGCAGGGGGGTTGGAACTTGATGATCTTAAGGTCCTTTCCAACCTTAACTATTCTATGATTAATGGTGCTGTACCACAGTGATAGAAAAAATCAACCCCATAAAATTCCGTGCTTCATTGTAAGTTGACTTCACTTTGCAAAGTTACTCCAGTAGCAGGACTAAACAAAAAGCTTTATTAGAGAGATACTGCTTTCTTAATAATGTGGTTCTGTCCTATGAAGACAGGCTAAGAGAGGTGGGGTTGTTCAGCCTGGAGAAGAGAAGGCTCCAGGCAGACCTTAGAGCAGTCTTCCAATACCTAAAGGGGGCCTACAAGAAATCTGGAGAGGGACTTTTTATAGAAGCATCAAGTAACAAGACAAGGGGGAATGGATTTAAACTGAAAGAGGGAAGATTTAGATTAGAAATTGTTCACTTTGAGGGTGATGAGGTGCTGGCATAGGTTGCCCAGAGAAGCTGTGGCTGCCCCATCTCTGGAACTGTTGCAGGACAGGCTGGACGGGGCTTTAAGCAACCTGGTCTACTGAAAGGTGTCCCTGCCAATGGAAGGGAAAGGACCTTAAGGTCCATTCCAACCCAAACCATTCTTTGATTCTATGTTTCTAACTGTAGGCAAACCTTGCTGGACTTAAAATTATCAAGTTGGAACTAAATTGTGATTTTATCTAATCTAACTTCAACATAGGTATAAATTGAAGTTTTGAAAGATTGTAATAAAAGCTACGTGAGTGTAACTGTGTCTAACATTTTTACTAGGACAAAACCTTAAAGGACATCTGACATGACAGGGAATATTGAAATACTGACTATATATATTTATCAAACAAATGCATGATAAGATTTTGGCAGGATAGGAAATTATCATTTGTTCTTATAAAAATAATTTCCTATCACAAGTATTTTTTGTTTCTATTTCAGACACCACTAGAATTTATTTTCAAACTTCCATATATCTAACCTAAATCTCCCCTTTTTAAGTTTGAACCCATTATCCCTTGTCCTACCATTAATCATAACTGTCTGAAGAAGGCAGTTGAAAAAGTGATTATTGAAACCCAAAAGCTGACAAACTATGACACAAGCAATGATTAAGCAAAATTCCATAAATACTCTAGAAAGATCAGTTCTAAATTTCTGAATTAATATAATCCTGCCAGATAAAACACTGCAAGTCCTTCAGTGTTACATGTGAACAAGAGAGCTGGTGCAGTCAGCAAAAAATCTATACAACTCATGTCTTCCACAACACCACTGCTTGTGAATTATGTTCTTCTCTCAGAAGAAGCTAGTGCAATGGTAGGTTGTTTCCATGCTTCCTTTTCTTGCAGGGAAAGAACAAGCTGGAGTTAATCTGGGAGAACAACTGAAGTGAATCAGAAGTCTGTAGTCTCTAGGTTTACCTGACATATATACCATACACCCATGTAAGGAAGAGAGAAGAAACAGAAAAAAATGTGGTTTGATCTGTAGGTGGTCAATGATCTTTAATGACTGTTTCATGGAATGAGCCCACATGCTCGTCCTTCTGCTGACATCTAATGTGCGTCATCCGTATATGCTGTATGGACATATGTTTGCAAACTCTTGGCTTGAGAGCAACAAACAACATTAGGATTATTTAACTCTTAAATGTTTCAATGTGTAAATTCACTTTATGCCTATATGTTCATTTCCTGGTAATAACATAGATCACACCTGTTACAGAGCTAGAATACAGATCTACGGAAACTGCTCCAGTGTCTGATGATGAGACATTTACACAAACATAAAATACTGTGGTAATGGGTGTGCTTTATTTTACATCTACGAAACCAGTCATTAAACCAATGCTATGTATTTTCACTATCTCATAGATCTCTCTCTATGCTATCAGTATGGCATGACAGAATAATATGAAGTCGGTAAAATATATATTTTATATATAATATATAATTTCCATGTGTTTTCTTCTTTCTCCCATTGCACTCCCTCCTTCTTTATTTTTACAATAAAACATTCTTTCCCATTATTCTCCACAATTTTTCCTATAGTAATTTACCATGGCTTGTAATACACCTGTGCTCTACAGGTCTAAGTCCTTCCCTTTAGGAACTGTAGTCTAAATTTAAAAAGTAAATCAGAGACTTTAATATATGGCCATGTAAGGTCAATATTCCTTCCACTTCCCTCTAAAAATCCATTGGATTAGAATAGGGGCTTTTTTAAAAGTAGTTCTTAAAGTTTAAAGTTTACCATGAAGTACAAGCAGGTATTTAAATAAAGCAGGGACATCATTGAGTCACCATCCCTGGAGGTATTAAAAAGACCTGCAGATGTGGCACTGAGGGACATGGTTTAGTGGCATACTTGGTAGTGTTAGCTGAATGGTTGGACTCGATGATCTTAAGGGTCTTTTTCAACCTAAATGATTCTATGATTTTGTATCATCTGTCATCAAAAATATTCTGTAAAAGAGAAAATACATATATGTTCAAATTGAAACATCAATATTTCAATTCTTTACCATCTAGTCTATGCAAAGACTGTTACATAATAAGATTTAGGTGCTATTATACATAAGCTTGCATAGTTAAGCTCGTATTTTGATAGATGGGAGCAGTCCAATCGTAAGCATGAATGAATATAAAGCAAATGGGGAAGACTGCAAGCTTGGCTTGAACACAGATACACAGTGATACAACTCGAAAAAGTACTGCTCAAGGGAATTGCTCATCATTGCTAAGGAATAAATGCAAATGGAAGAGGCATTATTTACATAAAGCACAAAATCAGTCCATCTAACAGATATCCTATTAGGGAAAGAAACTTGCAATAATGAAACACTTCACAAATTTTTCAAACTAAAGTACTGCAATGTGAAAAATAGAAAGCAAAAGAGTCATCTCTACAGCTTTAACAGTCTCAAGGTGTTCCTAAACAAATTATGAAAGCATGATTTCATACCTATTGGAAGAACAGGCATAGCCTTTGAACTTGTATTTGAGTAAAGTGTTTGGGCATCTGGTCATTCTACATGCTGGGATGGAAGGGCCACTTAATTTCTGTGTTATTGAAGCGTTGAATGTGAAGACTTTGATAGAAGGAATTATGTACTTTGTGTGCCAAAAATGGTTATCCAGTGAGCAAGAAACACGTAAGAGGAACAGCAGATACTCAGAGGAAGACTTAGCCCTTCCCCGATAGCAAAGCTCTCCAATACGCATTTGAGTTACCTTTTATTAAGCAAAAGACTTAAATACAGGCTCATGACCAGTGGACTCCAGTAGAACTTAAGCATGTACTTAAGTGGATTCCTTTATCCTTGGAAGCCTTAGCCCTTCACTCCTCATTCATGCAGCTTAGCTGCTTATCAGCCCTTCTACCTAAAAAGATACCTGCAGAGCAAAGCCAGGATTTGCTTCTATCTGATTAAAATTGGAAGAGAATGAAAATATGCCTGTAAAAAATACTGCTGTAAACTGTTTTCCCTTACAGAGCCCAACCAACAAAGGAATATGCAAAAGGAGAAGAGAATTGCAAAGCATTTCTTGTTCAAGCAGGTTCCCAGGGTTTTTCCCCACCTCTTCATTCCAGATTGCTTTCTTAGCCACCCTACCATAATTACTGTTGCATGCCTTATTACAGATGAAGTTATTGTTGTTACACGTTACTGTTTCACAATAATCGATGCATTTGTACTTCTAGCTCCAAATCTCTAAAACCACACATTAATGGTTCTGATCAAAAGCAACTGAAATAATTTAGTATGAGGGCTGTGTTCCTCTTCGTAACTAATGATGGGTACCAGCATCTCATGTATTCCAGCCAGGACGTCTTGATTTTGATATCAGAAGTGTTACTGTGTGTCACCACATATCTTGCTAAATCAGCTTGCTGATGGGCATCGTAGCTGATACAACAAGCCACGTCAGCAAATATTGCTGTGTATCTCAATGCAGAATCCAGTTCTAAGTATGCCAATGATGACAACATAAAACCCATTCACATACATATGTAAATTGCAACACAAATAAAATTTAAGCAAATTAATTTAGCAAAGAATATATAAATCTTTTTCATGAGCAGGTAACAGATATGATTCACAGCTAGTGCTTGGCATTTATACAATAAAATAATTCAGTGTTGGCATGTGTTTTAATTCTACATCGTAATGCAAATGTAGAACTACAATAAGTTGGAAATAAAATCTTTTGGCTAGATCTCATTAATTTTTACTACCTTGCATTGTAAAACCAAACCTGAACCAATGGCATCATTTCATAGTACTGTTTTCATGATTTGGTGGCAAAACTTAAAAGCATTCCAAAGTATTAGAGAAGGAGACCAAGAGGAAGGGAACCAGCCAGAGCTGAGATTAGTAAACTCAAAAATATTGATAAAAATAATTTCTTAGGTTATTACTCCTTAGCAGGGAAAGCCAAGGAGTAAATTGTTTACTTAATTATGAACAATACAGTGGCATCTTATTGTAAAGACTTCTTGTCTCTTTTTTTGTCATGCTTCTTTTGTGGTCTCTTTATTTTCCTTTGACATCAACCAACTGAAGATTACAGGATTATTTCAGGAACTCATCACAGGTCATCAAAGCTGGGAGTCAGGAGTACCAAACAGAAATGGTGTGGGTTCAGATCCGACTGGAACGAGCAGGAATAAAGAAAAGACCTCGGTTCCTTTAGGGCTCAACTAAGCTCTTTTAAATAGGAGAGCAAGCTCCTTGACAAAAATCCCTGTACAGTCTAGGTTATGTTTACATGAACTGGCACATCATCTGTTTCAGAAGCTCTAACTACTACTAGAATGTATACTTAGGACTGCAAAAATAAAGGTCAATAGACTTTTTTTTTTTTTTTGCAATGGGCAAGGAAATAAATGTGAAACTTCTAATGCACTGATCGTATGAAAAAAAAAAAAGTAATAGGAGAAATTCCAATGCATAAAATGAAACATTAAGAAAGGTAGAAAGCTGGGCCAGCATTATAATTGTTCTAGGCAAACTCATATATAAGAGCCAATTTTGAGAAATACATTCATACAATGGACAAGATAATCTGTATGCAAACAGGTTTTCATTGAGGCATATGTATGAAGTGTAATTGATCATTTGCACACAAACGGTTAACATGACAGTACACTGATTTTTAGCAGAGGCATGTTTAAATTTATAGCCTCCAATTTTTGCCTGTGGGCTAGTTAGAAGCTGGAAGTGCTGGAGGAAGCAGTGAGGGATTAGGAAAAGTGATCTGTAGGTCCCAGGAAGGCACACTAGCAGCAGTCCTGTGCTTGTTTTTCACAAAATTTGAAGGAAATCACACTACTTTTTAAATTTATACTCTTTTTATCATTGTATCACCTTTCAGATTTTTTCCCATTTGTTCTGTCTTGCTAAAGGTACAACAGCCGTTGAGTTTTTGGATAGCACATTGTTACTACAAACAAAGGGAACTCTTCCTGGTTCAGCTAAAGATATAGCAGATTCAAATACATAGAAAAATTATTGGAAAATGTGATGGTTGTTGAGTTTTAAATATTTTAATTTTTATAAATTAATTTTAGATTGTATTGGCACTAAAAAACAAAAGAGCTAAAAAAAGCCCAAACGACTATAAATTAAATCATTCACTCAGATATAGCCCAAATCGCTGAAAATTACAAGTCACAGTAATTCCCTACATGCTCTCCATGCTGTTTCTCTGCCATGTTGATTTCTATTACACCTAAAGTTAATGTAAATATGGACTCTTCTTTTTCCACTAGCAGCTGCTCTGCTGCCCATCCAAACTAGCATGTGCTATAAGAGCGATGACATAGATCACACCATTATGTGATAAGCACTTACTGCTTAAACAGTTAACCAGTCTCTTACTTAGAACCAAACAATAAATGTACATCATTTCTACAAGCTTCAGAACATTTGTATCAAAAGGGTCTAGATATTTCTGCAAACTGCTCAAAGACAGATAAGCAGCAGAAAAAACCCCAACCCAAAACTGAGGGAAGACAGCTTTTCTGTTCTAGACTCTCCCAAATTATTCATTTTTCTCTGTTTTATTTTCATTTATTGGAGAGTTTATATTTTGAGGTAGACAGAAAATGGAATAACACAATTGTTTTGGCAGAACATTCTAACCTCTGCTGGAGACATCAATTATCAGCCATTGTTATATAAAAAAACCCATTTTGTTTTACGACTGAGAAACCAAAAGCAGAAGTTAAGAACAGAGAAATGACAAAGATTTTTATCTGTAACTCTGGCTACGTTAGAAGCTATACTATCAGTTTTACTCTGGCTATACGAGCCATCTAAAAACCCCTTAAAATACTCAATTTATCAAGATATCCCCTACACTATTCAATCCAATATAGAGTCAGACCTAATACACTAAGATAAAACCATCCCTCTCTTTTCTTTCCCATCTAGTATAAGAAATAAGCAAAAATGTATTTATCTCCTTCTTGTTGATGTAAGCTTGAAACTATTTAGAGGATGCAAAATGATAAAAAAATGGGGGGGGTTAAACAGAATTGATAATGAATAAAAGGTGTTATACTACAAAGGCAGGATGACAAAATTCTGGTAAAAAGTTCACTGTTCAATATATGAACTGGTAAAAAATGCATGTGGATGCAGATAAGATGGGAGGAGAAGGAAAATGATGGAGAATGCGTGGGAAAGCAAATGAAGAGACAGCAAACTGGGAAGCAGATGAATACACGTGGCTAATTGACTCAGTATTTCTTAACCAAATTCCTTACCTAATCAGAACAATAATAACTGGGGAACTGGGGGGGGGGGGGGGAAGTCATCTAAATTAGCATACAATTAATATTTAAATCAGTTATAGAAGATTAACATTCACAGGTACATACCATGTAATCTGTACATGAATGATACACTTTTACTAGAGATAATATCTGGTAGGCAAATGCTGCTTAGACAATAATATCTTTACTATTGATACGAAAAGACTATTTACTATTTGGCATGTCAGGTATCTAAAAGTTCTGCTGTTCTTAAAGACATTTCTGTAATTTTAGCTGTATAATGCTTGAATATTTAATATTCATTCTGCTGACACACATTTGTGACCACTTGAATTAGAAGAAAAAAAATAATCTGAAAAAGCATAAAAGTTGCAACACAACATTTCTTTTTAGAAGCAGTACTAGTAATATTTACAATTATACCCATGCCAAAGCAGTTTCAAATGTGATGCACATTCCTCATTAACAATGTAAAGTGCAGAAACTTATAAAATACGTACGTTATGTACATATAGAATTACATATGTTTTTAGACCAAGCTCATGGTTTAGCAGCTAAAGCATGTGTTATGTTCAGATCTCCCACCTACCCTACTGTTCTGTGTTAATGAGGATATGGAAAGCCATGGAACTTACATACGGACACTTATATGTTGATCTTACATAGAGAGCTACGTGTGTGCCACATGTCACAGTATCTTTTTTCCATACTTTGTTTAATGATCTAGCTGGCTCACAGTTATAGCTTCCCTCCCGTGTTACACAAGCACAGAGTAAAAAGATTTGCAAAACCATGTAAATAATTAAGATAGAAAAATGGAATATAAGACAGACTGCAGACCTGGCTGTATGTTTTAACTGCTCCCTTAACCTGTGATTTGGAGGTACAGGATGCCTTCATTTTCCCCAAATAATGATCATAATCTCACAGAATCGGGGCCCTTTAATTAATCTTTCTTGTTGATAAACACCAGATTTCTGTTTTGTAGCATCTATTTCATGTTAGAAATCAAAATAACTATAATCTAGATAATAAGAGCCCATGCATTTAAAAAAACCCATGATTTTCTATGTTAGTTAACATTTTAACACTATTGCATCTGTCACTGAATGGCTGCTTGGCTCCACTGACTGAACACTGCAAGAGCTTGTCAAAACATTTTACCTGACAGATATGTTTGTTCTTCCATTTGCTCAGCACACATTGACTGTTTTGCATTAAGTCCTAAAGGACAACAGAAAACAGAGAGAGGAGTTGGCAGTACACACTGTCACTATTGGTTAACATACTTGTGATTTTCGAGTTTATAGGTGAAGCATGTCACAAAGATGCAGCTGTTTTAGAACAGCCTGCCAGACAAAAGCACATTTATCATCACTGGGAGAGTTGGATCTTTATGAAAATTAAAGCTGTTGAAAGAGGTTTGAAAACCAGATAATATGTTGCTGTACTTGAAACTTTCTGAAACATACCTCTACCTCCTTGAGTGTATCCCGCAGTTTATCTGGCCGCTTGTTTTTCAGTATCCAGGGATAATCTCTAGCTGGAAAATAAAATAAAAATAAAATAAAATAAAATAAATAAAATAAAATAATATATATAGGTGACTGTGTACAAATACACATTTCTATAAAATAAAGTTCTTTAAGTTAAGCTTTCTTTTCTGTGGAAACACAAACCTAAGATTTCAAGAAGTTACTGGACATGTAAAACTTACCTATAACTGGGAAAAAATGGCTATGGTTTTAATTGGTTTCTATTGTCAAATGACATCCTTTTGAAAGGCTCTGTTTTAGGGACAGTTAGCATGTTACATCCACACTGACTGTGACTTCACGATAGCATTTGTGTACAAAGCTCTCGGGATGTAGCTTCTTATTCAGCTGCTAAGTTCTTGCAATGAGGAAGCACCCCACATTCAGTATGTTAACTTAGAATCGAAGTTATCAAATCCTAAACAGATCCTACTCTTTCGAATTAGCATTTCATTGTCTAATTCCAAAATGCAGGCACAAACATGTCTTCAAAACATATATGCATGAGTATATGCATATATAGAGGCATTAACGACAGGTAATTGTGAACGCCATAATTTGTATTATGGAGTATAGCTATTTATAGGATTTGTTCTTGAAAATTTGGTCTGAAGAATCTGCCAAGTCAAGCAAACAAGAAACTGCATGACTGCTACAGTCCTTTAACAAATTTATTAATGTTTAGCAAACTATTGTGAAAGCTTCCTCTGGAGCTGCTAGTAATTGGTTTGTTTCATGGCTGAGAATCAGGCTCTAATAACTTGTGAAATTTCATCCTTTAAAAGTAAGCAGTTTTCTGTCCATAAGTATACAATAAAAAACCATGAGAAAGTAGAACACATTGTCTTTCTAAAATCTAGCCTATTTAAAGGAAAACTGATGAAAAGTTTTGAGCTCCAAGCTGTCAGTTTGTATGCCAGCTTCCAGACTGAGTGACTTAACAGTTGTGTTTAAATCTCCCTGCAAAAAGGAGCTTACAATAAGAGTGCTATAGAGTGAAAAAATGAAGGATTTCATATATCAACAAAAGAGCACACCAACATACAACTTCTCTTTGTATTTTACTGGACTGAAGCCAGTGTTGGTGGAACTGTTATGATAATATTAATTAGGCATGTAAGATCACATTTTCAATGGGTGCCTTCATAAATATTGCAATATTTATCCACATATGCAAAATGGGAAATTGCCTGTACAGATACCAACCTATATATACAAATCAGCAGCTGTAAATAAAGTTACCCAGTGTTCCTCTTTAAGAAATGTACCATACAGTGCTTCGTCCCTAGTCACCCTGTATTTACAACATGGTGCAGTAGCTCCTGTTCCTTTTGCATGTCACAAGTATGAAAGATAACAATTGGGGCTTCTGTATAACGGGGTTTATCTGGGCCTGCTTCTCTTTTCACACAGGCAACGCCTGTAAGATAATGCTATGGCACAGCACAAGGGATGTAAATCCATTATGCTCCTCCCTACTTATAACCCTTTCTCAGCTCCCCACCTTTACAGAGCTGTATTGATTCTGACTGACACACAACCCTCCGCAGCAGGTGTAGATTTACCACATGGCTGCGTGCACTTTTATACCCATCCCCAGCGGGGCTTCAACCTGCTCCAAACAAACCTTATGGTGTTGCAAAGAACTTATCCTTCTGGAACACATTTTGCTTTCAAATACACGCACCATACCACGTGAATTTTTATTATGTATGATAAGATGAAATGTTAAGGCAATACTTCCAGCATACATAGTACTTTGTGAAGTCATCTAAAAATCAATTAGGTTTTTTTTGGAGTTGTCATCTAATAATGTTTAAACCTTAATCAATGCTCTTAGCAATAGTAAGCATGCAGGAGTTGCAAAGCTTGAGCTAAAGAAAAGTTGTACTAGTGTAAAAATCTTTAACTGCCACAGTATTGCTGTGTGCGAGCATAAACTGAAATTGCTTTTAACCAGGTAATGCAGGAACTGTGTAAATGTTTCGAAGCTGGAAGCATTCTATGAAGGCAGCTGATTATTAACCTGGAATTTGATTTTGGCCAAAAGGATTTCAGCTATAATTTTCAGGTATGAAGCACTGGGTATTTCAATTCAAGAGCCAATTGAGAAGTGTTTATTGCTCATCTGCTGAGTAAATTTCACAAGGAAAAGTCTGGATTATTTTTGTGATTCCTCTTGACAATGGATTTGAGAACCAACACACACAACCATGCTTAGCGACACAGAAAAAAACGGATTGCAAATACACTAGGAAAGAATTACAACTTTTCAACTGTTACGTGCCGTGTAGCTCTGTGACTGCCTGCCTCAGATGGTATGTGTAGAAAGTTACTCTGAAAACAGGCTGAGGTGATTTTAATGCTTTTCCAGGGGGGGTCACCAATTCAAATTAATGATTTGGTTTTGCTGTAACAACAATCTCAGAAAATCTCCTTACATTCCGCTTGCCTTTGCTTCTCTTCTAAGTAACCATGCTTCATCTGTGATGCTGAGGGATAGAAGGGATGAAAAGATGAATGATAATCCTTACAACTGCTGTCAGCAAATATTAATATTAGGGAGAAGAGTCACACGGTTTGATAAAACGCAGAAATTCACCAAAACGTAAGAGAGCCCTGCTTTTTTTCACCTCGAGAGGCAGATATCTTAAACTCGCAGTGAAAGAAAGGCTTGTACAGCACAGCGGGTGTGCCGGCGGCACCGAGACTGCAGTCCCCGAGCCCCGGCGGCACTACGTCCTGACCGCGGAACTCGGCTCACGGGCCCGGCCGCCGAGAGGGACCTGTAGCTGGAGCCGAACAGACTCTGTGGCCCATCAGGAAGCGTCCTGGATTAACGGGATTAACCAGATGAAGGAAACCGATCGCTCGTCCTGCGCGGCCCCTCCGCTCGCCGGGAAGGGACGTGGGAGCCTGCCTGCAGCCCAGCGCGCTCGCGGCGCCCCCTGCCGGCCACCCAGCAGCGCCGCGGCGGCCCCGGCCCGCACCGCCCCTCACCATGGTGCCGGCTGAAAGGGCTGGATCAGCTATAAAATAGAACATACAGTACAAGAGCCTAGAGTTTAGAATCCCACTGAAGTTTCTAATGGCAGAAAGGTTGCTTTTATGTAAATATTTTCCTTTTTTTTTTTTTCTTCCTGTGGAATAAAAAGTTTCTAAATGCTCTGCCGTAACTTAGAGAAAATCTGTGCTTCCTTACAGTGACAAAATACAGATATATACCGAAATATATCAAGATTTATTGATATATATACCAAAATGCATCAACATACATCTAGATATATATCAAAATACATCAATATATATCAAAGTACATATATATGTATACACAGTTATTTTTATATATATAAATATATTAACAAGAAATTTGAAGTTGCATTTTTCAGAGCAAGCAGTCGGTAACAAAGATTGAACATTCGAAGTTTTGTTTAGTTTTAGTTACAGTTATTTATATTTTACCTGCTTCTTTCTTGTCATAGTACTGGTGAATCCCAATATCTTCATCTATAGAATTGAATGTAAATATATTTAATTATCGATGTGACACTAGAAACAAAACACAACTTAAAATGCAAAGTTCAGCATCTCAGTTTCTGCCAGCTGGAGAAGAGTGTTAGGTGTTAACATAGCAACAGTGTAAAAACTACGGCAATAGTCTGAATACCAGGAGCACTTTCAAGAACCAGCACGCAAGGGCTGAAGGAGAATGTGACAGGTCCTTATGTTTGTTTGGAGCTGTCATTTCCTCCTCATACACTTTGATTCACTTCCAGCTGCCAACATACAAAAGTATTTTTACCACCTTCCTAATGAGCATCTTTTATGATTGTTCACAAAGAAAGGTAAGGATCATGGCGAAAAGTATACCTTAGAATAACTTTAAACGTTTTCTGGTGACTGACACAGCTGAGTTAAAGACAATAGGATTTTCTTAAGATTCATGAACTCATAAAGCTGCTCTTTCAGAGGATCCAATATTCTTAATCTATAGGTATTATTCTCTACCTGGTTCCCATGGTAAAGATATTTGGCTGTTTCAACTACCTTGGTGCAAGCCACACCAGCCAGTTCCCGACTGGTAAACACTTAGGTGTGCCATGGCAAGCTTCACCAAGTAGATCTAAGTATGGCTTTATGCTGCATTGTTTTAAAATAATGGGATGGACACTGTGTCTGTCTTCTAAATTCAGACAGTGATGTACCATGAGACATTCTGTACATGGAGGAATGAAGGAAGGCATTGCAATGGCAGACAGCAGTCCTGCCTTCTGCCTCAGGATGTTAGAATGAGAGAGGAAGCAAGAAAGTCAGAGGTGGAAAACAGGCACAGCAGGCCACAGTATGCCTTTAATTACAATAAATCACAACTATGTATTTATTTAAGCCATCAGGCTTTTCAATAAAAGTTTTTGACTTTTTTTTCATATTGTAACAGAACAATTCTGACACAAATTTGGGATGCCAAGACTTACTGAATCACTATTTGAATAATAACATTCAACTAAACATTTATTCATTATTCAACTGAATTGTCAATAATAATAGAATTATATTTCAAGAAAAATATTATACTCTATAATTGGTATAAAGTGTCATAAATAATAGATTGATATGGTCCACTTACAAACTAGTGGGTTTTTTTTTTAGTATTGTATTTTAGCAATAGCAAGGCAAGATGAATGAAGGTGATTTCTACATGACTAGTAATTAGTCATGTGTCTCCTGGAACAATCAATTAATACGATAAATATACCCTTGTAAGTATAAAATTTCAAGTAATCATAGAAAATACCCAGAACATGCAGTAATTTTTTATGCTCACGCTAAGTATAAATCACAATGCTTCTAAAAATCACGTGACTACAGATCTTCATTCACCTAAATCAGTCATTAAACTGAAGCTTACAGTCAAGTAGCTTCCAAAAAAGGAAAATGCATCCAATTAAATACAATCTTAACATTTTTCACTTCAAAGGATGCTCCAGTTCTATGATAAGATAAGCGAAGTAGCTGATCAAGTTCAAACATCATACATAATTTTCTTTCTTTCTCCTAAGTAGAAAAAACACTTGATTTGGACATTCAGAATTTTATATCAATTTACTATTCCTTAACAAGCTTTGCTGTTTTGTCTTAGTAACAGGTAACAGCTCACCTCTAATATGTAAGTTAGTCTTCAAAGACCACAGAAACATCTCAGTTAGGCAGAAAGACATCTGGTGGCAGATGGAGTCTTAGCACTATCAAAAGAAGGAAAGAAACTGCATGAGCAAATTAATTAGAATTATATAATCATAGAATCATAGAATAGTTAGGGTTGGAAAGGACCTTAAGATCATCCAGCTCCAACCCCCCTGCCATGGGCAGGGACACCTCACACTAAACCATCTCACCCAAGGCTTTGTCCAACCTGACCTTGAACACTGCCAGGGAGGGAACATTCAGAACTTCCCTGGGCAACCCATTCCAGTGCCTCACTACCCTAACAGGAAAGAATGTCTTCCTTATATCCAATCTAAACTTCCCCTGTTTAAGTTTGAACCCGTTACCCCTTGTCCTATCACTACAATCCCTAATGAAGAGTCCAACCCCAGCATCCCTAGAGGCCCCCTTCAGATACTGGAAGGCTGCTATGAGGTCTCCACACAGCCTTCTCTTCTCTAGGCTGAACAGCCCCAACTTTCTCAGCCAATCTTTATACGGGAGGTGCTACAGTCCCCTTATCATCCTCGTGGCCCTCCTCTGGACTTGTTCCAACAGTCCCATGTCCTTTTTATGTTGAGGACACCAGAACTGCACACAATACTCCAAGTGAGGTCTCACAAGAGCAGAGCAGAGGGGCAGGATCACCTCCTTTGACCTGCTGGTCACGCTCCTTTTGATGCAGCCCAGGATACGATTGGCTTTCTGGGCTGCAAGTGCACACTGAAGCCGGCTCATGTTCATTTTCTTATCAACCAGCACCCCCAAGTCCTTCTCCGCAGGGCTGCCCTGAATCTCTTCTCTGCCCAGCCTGTAGCTGTGCCTGGGATTGCTCCAACTCAGGTGTAGGACCTTGCACTTGGCATGGTTAAACTTCATGAGGTTGGCATCAGCCCACCTCACAAGCGTGTCAAGGTCCCTCTGGATGGCATTCCTTCCCTCCAGCATATCAACTGAACCATACAGATTGGTGCCATCGGCAAACGTGCTGAGGGCGCACTCAATCCCACTGTCCATGTCAGCGACGAAGATATTAAACAAGACCGGTCCCAACACTGATCCCTGAGGGACACCCTTTATCGCCAATGAAACTGCAAGTACTTTGGAAAAATAATACTAGAAGAACCTAGCAGTGGTGATATTTTATTATATGTAAGTTGTAGGTTTTGACTGCTATAAACCGAATAATGCATGAGAAAAAATAGGGTATGAAATGTAGATACGTCTATATACATCATACAGAGAGACAAATCAACATTAGTTTAAATTTACAGCTGCTCTCACTAAAGTAAATAACTTTGTCCTTGATACTTCTTATACACACGTGATCTCTTTTTACTGTATGGCTATTACCTTGGCATATGCTAAAGTGAAGACACTGCTTAAAGATCTGGCTAGACAGGAAAATTTGACTTTCAAGCCAAATTTTTTAAACACTGTACATCAGGAAGGGTCAACATAGTGAAGAAACAGTTTTGAACATGATGTTTATCCTTAGTGCCATGGTTTACTGGTGGATTTGGCAGTGCTGGGGTAACAGTTGGACTTGAAAATCTGAAGGTCTTTTCCAACCTAGTTGATTCTATGATTCTATTATCCTATATATGTGGACATCAGTTACACTGCTAAATATAAAAAGTGATGTCTTTCTAAATAAAAAAGAGCATTTACATTAAATCAATTAAAACTGACAAAATAACAGCTGTGAAGCACATAAAATACATGAATTCTAATGTTAGGTACATTGACTGCAGTTATAAACTGTTTGCTGAGGTTTTCTGAACAATCCACCTAAATATTCCAAATAGAGGATGTGTTGTCCAGAGGAGCATTGGGAATCTTCTGAGACCCAGTAACTAAGACTTCCTTGAGTAATATCCTGAAGTGCTGTAGTTGAAAATGCGCCATCAGACCAACTACTTACACTTCTTCCAAGAATCCACTGAAAGCTGGACTCAGAAGGGGAGTTTACACAGATACAGCACACTCAAGAACCACTGTCGGTATAGAACTGTATTTGAAGTTTTTTCCTTTTTGAAGTGGACTCTTCATTTCCTTTCCATTAGTGCCACACAGATAATGAATCCACTACAAGCTCACTCCAGAACTCCAACCACATTGAGTATCAGGCATTTACCTCAAGAGGGCTTTGATGAGAAATATGGGCAAGAATCTCAGGTAGCATCAAGGAAGTGATCATAGTTCCAGCAGACCTGAGACCTTGAGGTATTATCACTCAAGCTAATCTGCATGTTTTGATGCACTGCCTAATCCACTGAAACAGCACCAAGTGGAAACAGAATTTTCTTAACACTGATCCCCAAAAGTACAAAAAAATCTAAATCCTATGGTTTTATCAAAAAGAGGGGAAAAAAAAAAGCTCATAACACAGTCTAGTAAAAGGAATATACTTTCATCTTGGGTGAGAATGAGTTTGGGAAAAGAACGCAAAGACATTTGTAGCATGGTGGTCTGTTGAACATGGGAACCTTTTCTGGTGTAAATATGGATGAGGGCAGCCCCTCATTTTCCATTTGTATTACAGTAACAGGAGATTGTACGTTATAATATTCTTACTTGTTTTCTCTGTTTTTACTTTCTTACTTTAGCAAGTGAAACAAAAACTTGCATTCCCCAGTGTCCATAGATCCTAGAAAAGAATCTCTCACTAATACAAAGACAACAAATTCGGTGAGCATTTCAAAATCTTATCATGGTTTGATTGAAACAAAACCCTCAAGCCCTTGATCGGCAGATGATCAGTTCAGCTGGAGAGAAGGCACATCTGCCCAGAGGACAAGGTGTGGTGGTGCCCACCAAAGCTGCTCTACCACTCCCCTCCTCAGCGGGACAAGGGAGAGAAAATACAGTGAAAGGCTCATGGGTTGAGATTAAGGACAGGGAGAGATCATTCAGAAATTATCATCACAGGCAGAACAGAATCATGTTGGAGAAATCAGCTTAATTTATTACCAATCACATCACAGTAGGATAATGAGAAATAAAACCAAATCTTACTAACAAGTTCCCCCCACCCCTCCTTTCTTCCTGGGTTTAACTTCACTCCCAGTTCTCTGCCTCCTCCACCCTCAATGCAGAGGGACAGGGAATGGGAGTTGTGGTAAATTCATCATACATTGTTTCTGCTGCCCCTTCCTCCTCAGGGGGAGGACTTCTCACTCTTCCCCTGCTCCACTATGAGGTCTCTCCCATGGGAGACAGTCCTCCATGAACCAAAACATGGTCCATTCTAATCTGATCTATGTTCTAATCTGAAATACGTTCTGATTGGTTATAGTCTACAGGAAAGAAATGGAAAAAAAAAAAAAAAAGGAGAGAATCTGCTTCTGTAACAAAATATGGAACTGTAAAGTCTGAATATTTCACTCAGAGGAATTCTTTTTTTTTCCTTTTGAAGAAATACTCGCCAACTTTCAGAGTTATGCAACTACATCTCACCATTTATCACAGCATTATATTCCAGCACAATGGGGATGACGATGATGAAGATGATGAGAACAAAGACATCATTCTCTGTTGGAAGCAACCCCAACCATTCCATGTTTTGTGATCTGGAAAGCACCTCTCAGAACTGACACTGTTCCTTTAACTACATCAGCTACGCCCTGCTATTGCAAAGAGGTAGGTATGAATAAATATAAAAACTCCTCCCACTGAGCTTTAAGGACTCCATCCCTCCCTTCTTGAAACTGACTAGAATTTGGGGAAAATATCATAAAATTATAGAATCATAGAATAGTTAGGGTTGGAAAGGACCTTAAGATCATCCAGCTCCAACCCCCCTGCCGTGGGCAGGGACACCTCACACTAAACCATCTCACCCAAGGCTTCGTCCTACCTGGCCTTGAACACTGCCAGGGAGGGAGCATTCAGAACTTCCCTGGGCAACCCATTCCAGTGCCTCACCACCCTTACAGTAAAGAACTTCTTCCTTATATCCAATCTAAACTTCCCCTGTTTAAGTTTTAACCCATTACCCCTTGTCATATCACTACAGTCCCTAACGAAGAGTCCCTCCCCAGCACCCCTAGAGCCCCCCTTCAGATACTGGAAGGCTGCTATGAGGTCTCCACGCAGCCTTCTCTTCTCCAGGCTGAACAGCCCCAACTTTCTCAGCCTATCTTCATACAGGAGGTGCTCCAGTCCCCTGATCATCCTCATGGCCCTCCTCTGGACTTGTTCCAACAGTTCCATGTCCTTCTTATGTTGAGGACACCAGAACTGCACACAATACTCAAGTGAGGTCTCACAAGAGCAGAGTAGAGGGGCAGGATCACCTCCTTAAAATAAATCTACTGTTAAGGTAAAACTGGAATTCAATTTAATAGCTGGTTCTTTTTCCACTCATGCAACACTGACTGTCAGCTTTCACAATGTCTCCGTAAACAGCAGGCAGAGATATTTTGGTGGTTGTAAAAGCAATCTGACAAATGGAGATGCTCTGCAGTGGTTACTGTGCTCCAGCATCCATGTTAGGAGTGCTTTGTTTAAAAAAAAATCCCCAATTCAGTAAATCTTTGTTTAGCCACTGATACAGAAAATAACTGCCTGGCCACTTCATAACATCAACAAATGCTGAAACTGATGCCTAGGGTCCACTCCAACACCTCCCATATAGCTGCTGTTGTATCAAATAATTAGGAAATATGCACTGCATGAGTGGTTCACTGATACTGTGTTTATTTCACCTGTTTCCATACAGTACATGGGAGAGTGGGGTGCTTGTGAAAGGCAATGCCCAGCTCCCAAGGCAAGTGCATCCAAAGAACATGGACCTCTGAAAACATGTTAGGAGTGAACTAGAGCTATGGAACAGGAAACGCTGAATACAGACCATCTGAGCTCTATAGTTTACATGCTAGAGGCATGGCTTGGTGTCACAGCGATATCCCAAGTGCCATTCCAAGAGTAGATCCTTTAAGTGCCAGGCTATAGGACAGTATTTGATGGCCACCTACCCATATCACTGAAGGTAGGCCCATGTGCTCCCAGAAATACAGCATTCCTAGCAAAAGAG